TTGTTTTCCTTGTGACCATCATTTGATGACCGTTGGGGTTTGAAAACAAACCAATTCTCTATAAGGTCTATTTATATGTATGTGGTGAAGTCTCAAAATCTGGCTTTCCAAATAGCATTTTCCGGTTCACCACATCGCTTGTGAACCTCTTTAATCCGATCAGCGGATCTGCATATACCACTGCATGTCCAGTCGAATGACGCTACACATATGTTGCCTGCTTGTGCCTTCCATTCACAATCTGCAAATTCTTCAAGAATCAGAATTCCATGTATATAATACTGATTACCGGATACATCAAGATTCTGCTACAAATAGTGTTTAAATAGTGTTTTTGTTCGGTTCTTTTTAGTGAAACCGAGAAGGTACCTGGAGGAGTGCCGCAACATAGCCTTCTGTCATCGATATGAGTAACATCAAGGCCGATAAACCAAGCACCTAATGTAACATCCTCATTTGCATACTTGTGCAGAACATGCCTAAAACATTTTATAGCACAAGAAATTATATGGTGGAAATGAGGGTATGAATACATTACAAAAGAGTTCCAATCTTACTGATTAATGGAAATATAAGAAGCCAAGTCTCTTGAAATGGCGTATAACTGTCCAGTAGCGTGGCGGAAGTACTTGTTCCCGTTTTCACCAAATTTCCAATACTCGGGCTCGTGGTATCTAACTCCTCTGTTCCATAGAGAAGACGCGAGTTAAGCAAAACCGAGGAACTTGATTCATAAAGAAATAAACTGAGAGATATTGGATTTTTACTTTTGAGATAGGACTGGACCGGATTTCATGCAGCCGATATAGACACGAGGTTTTTTCCTGTGTCTAACAAGAGTTTCCCCAAGAGTTGCTGTGGATATTTCAACAAAACAATCCAAACCTCATTAGTGATATTAGCAACATACAAATTTGGGAAAATGTTGACTCAATCTTTTACATTATATGGTAGGAGAATGTAGAGCTTACCGATATTAACATGAACGTCATCATCTACTTTGACATAGAAATCTGCATCCCACATCGAAACCGCTGTAGAAAAGTATGTTTTCGTTTTGCCTGATAACTCGAGGTATCCTTCAACATGATCCTGTTAAAAGAATATGAAGATAAGAAACTACTAATAAAGGCTTTGGACATCAAAAGCGCGAGTTAACTTGAGAATACAATACCAATCTCAAGAAATCTCCATGCTTCCTGTCTTCTGCTTCGATTGCTCGGTCTAGAATTCCCCCGGCCGTGGCACTAATTAATAGACAAATGACAAACATTATCAGATGTACAGAAACTATGTAAGCATTTCAGAAAATGCTTGATGTCCTATTCAATACTTAAAGGTTGAAACTCTCACCCATGTCCAATCACGAACCGAATAATAATTCCCTTCTCGTCTTCCAACTTCCTTTTCTTCTCAACTACAAGTAGTATTTTCGACATAAACAACCGTCAAGAAACATAGTGATGATAGCTATCTTGAAGAGAATGAAGCTACAAAGTTGAAATTAGAACCTTGAGGCATCCAAGTTGTTCGAATAGAGTCTCTTCTCTTTCTGCTACTAAAAGCAGTGTTAATCCCTACAACCATCAAATACCGCCTTTTCCCCGGTAATTGCTTCTTCTCCATATCACTCGATAAAGGAGCACCGTTCATTAAAGATTCTTGTGCTGATCTTGCTGCGGCTAACTCCATCTCTAAGCTTGAAATTGTCTTATCCAATGTCCTGAAGTAAACAAAGAAAACGTTTTGAAACCCGAAAATACGTTTTAGCAGATTATGTATTTTGATCACTTCAGCTTACTGTATAGCGTTATGAGTCTTGGAAACTTCTCCAAACAAAGCCTGAGGATCTCGTTTTACTTCTTTCTGGTAAAGCTAAAAGGGGAAACCAATAAAAATCTTTCTACAAACTCAACCAAAAGGACTGAAATGGATCGAAGAAACTCACGGTTTTGGGATCACAGCCTTCGGAGATTAGCTTTAACCTTTCAGCTTCTATTAGAGAAGATGGTCGAGCCATGTCATTAGACTCTGGAATGTTCCACATCCTGCAACAACAGAGTGTTTCACACCAAAATGTTTTGAGACAAATTACAAAGAGTCAGATTGTTTCAAAATCATGTCTTTGTAGCTTAATCCAGCGGTAAATTCATCAATTAAAAACTCAGACCCAAAGATGAAAAAAAAAAAAAAATCAAAACTTTCCCCAGAAAAACAAAAAACTGGGAAAAATTCAAAATTTTGTAAAATCATACCTATCGGTGAAGAATATACCGAAGCAGAAACTCCCCAAGCATAGTAAAAATGTCCACTTTTTTGATACGAAGTTTCTAGAAAAAAGCTCTCCTTTGATCTTCGTCGACATTTTTCCCTC